GACAGGCACACAACCAGGTATGCCCCTGAGAGCCAATAAGAGACAATATAGAGCCACGAGAGGCACAATAAAGGACAACAAGAGACACAATATAGAGCCACGAGAGGCACAATAAAGGACAAGAGACAATATAGAGCCACGAGAGACACAATAAAGGACAACAAGAGACACAATATAGAGCCACGAGAGGCACAATAAAGGACAAGAGACAATATAGAGCCACGAGAGGCACAATAAAGGACAACAAGAGACAATATAGAGCCACGAGAAGCACAATAAAGGACAACAAGAGACACAATATAGAGCCACGAGAGGCACAATAAAGGACAACAAGAGACAGAGGGCAAGGGGACCCCACTACCGGGCTGAGGCGATAGAGCGGAAACTTAATTAAGCAAGAGAATGTTGGTATTGCCAAGCACTTGTTGGGCCTCCGGTACCCTGGTTGGTTATGCTCTTCCTAGCTGCTGTTGGTGCTGCTGCTGCTGCTGGTGCTGCTGCTGCTGCTGCTGCTGCTGCTGCTGTGGTGTTCCGGATTCTGTTCCTGCGGTAAAAAGGATGTTGTTGCCTGTATGGGGTGACACAGTGCCCAGCTCTCTCTCTCTCTGGCCGTCAAGGAACCAGTAACCACAGAGTCGTACTGCAGACGTGAGTCGTACTCATCCGTGTCAGTCATCCACCTGGCTGTTGCATGCATCCATGGACGTGTGCAGCTGTCCGCTCAGGATAAACTTGCTGACAATTGACAACGGGCTCTGGAGCTAAGCCGGCGGGAATCCCAACACTAAACAACATATCCATCCCCAAACATCCCGAGCCTAACAGCTAAGGAGCCAGATTCATGAAAGGACTTACGCAAACACTTACGAACCTGTACATCTTTTCTCAATCTTTGGCGGCTTTGTTTACAATTATTAAACAGTTAATGAGCTCCGAAGCACCAAGAGGCTGTTTATAACAACAACAACAGTTGATTGGCAAGTTTTCACGCTTGTAAACTGTTTAATAAATGTAACCAAAGCCGTCAAAGATTGAGGAAAGATGGACACGTTCGTAAGTATTTGCGTAAGTGCTTTCGTGAATCTGGCCCCAAGTCTCCAACAACGCCAGCTGAGATTTTAGCTTGTATATCCGAGCTAAGATTTAATTTATGAGTAGTCAAAATAGGAATGCAATTTTAATTTCATATCTGAACAGTGAACACTATTTCAATTTGCATGAAATTTAAATATTTATATATATATGCGAGTTTCACCTCGTTTTTTCTCTGCTTGTGATGCATTTTTTTTCGTCTATTTCCCACACGTCATAAATCTACATTTTTTTTCTGGCCGGTCACACTTGCTATATTTTTGGAATGGTAATCTAAGTGTTTTAAATATATGTTCGAAATGATCCGAAAGGGTTTGAATCTTTGGTAAAGATGCCACCGTAAAGAAAAGCTTCACCAAACTATACTTTAATGAATGTTCGAGGACGTCACATATGTTTTCAGAAGGTACCTTTGGGAAACAGGTTGAAGGTGTGTAAAGAGGGAAGTGCTCAATGATATCACAGTGATGTCAAGTATCTATGGGAGAATATTGAGTCCCTGAGGTGGGATTGAGTCCCTGGATATCCCAGGGACATCATTTCCTCAAGACTATCCCAGAGAAGATGTTTTGTCTCACACTAGTGACCAGATATCCTTCTGGAGGGCATCACTCCAGTTTTCTTTATCTGAAGTTTAGCTCATTGAAGGGTCCGCCACTGGCGACCTCCACACCTGCTTCTCTCCACACTTGCTTCCCTCCACACCTGACGCCCGAGCTGGAGCCCAACTTGGGCACCAACACCCACCCTCACCACCCAGCTTGGGCACCAACACCCACCCTCACCACCCAGCTTGGGCACCAACACCCACCCTCACCACCCAGCTTGGGCACCAACACCCACCCTCACCACCCAGCTTGGGCACCAACACCCACCCTCACCACCCAGCTTGGGCACCAACACCCACCCTCACCACCCAACTTGGGCACCAACACCCACCCTCACCACCCAGCTTGGGCACCAACACCCACCCTCACCACCCAGCTTGGGCACCAACACCCACCCTCACCACCCAACTTGGGCACCAACACCCACCCTCACCACCCAACTTGGGCACCAACACCCACCCTCACCACCCAGCTTGGGCACCAACACCCACCCTCACCACCCAGCTTGGGCACCAACACCATTCTTACTCAACATCAACTTTTCCAGCTCCTCTTTTTCTTTTAGTTTTTCGTATCGTCTTCCCCCGTGTCTCTTCCACTCTCCTCCTCCTTCTCTTCCGCCTCCTCACCGCGTCCTTCACCTTGCCTCGGAGGTCTCATGTTGCCCCAAGAAAAAAACTAAATATAAACTGATAAAATCTTTCTTTTAGTCAGTATTCCAGTCTCCTCCTCCTCCCTTGAGAGGGAGCGATGCTTGTCAGTGGTTGGAAAGTGAAGGCAAGGGGAGTTGAGGGGAGAGGATGGAAGGGGAGTTGAGGGGAGAGGATGGAAGGGAGACGAGAAAGAATGGAAAGCACTTGTAACAGACCAATTGCTGTAATATAAAACTAGTTAATCTTAAGATATAACTCACTCCCAATCCTTCAGTTCTACCTTAAAACACGGGTAACGTTCTCTATTCAATTACTTAGCAATTACAACACACTTTCCCCTCAGAACCTCACATTATTATGAATATCAAGACACAAAAATGAGAATTCCGGATTGTGTTTCACCTCTCCTATGCATGAACTCTACACTGGATACTCCTCAACACTTAAAAAGTTTTCCAACAAAAACTTACTTTTCAACGTCAGCCTCCCACAGCAAAGTTTAATTTCATTCTTCTACCGCTGTTTCCTCGGTGTCTGGCCTCGAAGTCTCGAGGAGCGGCCATTGCTGCTTCAGACATCACCCCGAAGCCCTCGGCTGTATTCTCCGTTTGGCAGTGGATAAAGACAAATTGAACCACGCAGGCTGACCTCTCTCGCGTTCCCTGTTGTCATGAGAGGGTAACAGAGGGCGTGGGTCGAGGTAACAGAGAGGGCGTGGGTCGAGGTAACAGAGAGGGCGTGGGTCGAGGTAACAGAGAGGGCGTGGGTCGAGGTAACAGAGAGGGCGTGGGTCGAGGTAACAGACAGGGCGTGGGTCGAGGTAACAGAGGGCGTGGGTCGAGGTAACAGACAGGGCGTGGGTCGAGGTAACAGAGAGGGCGTGGGTCGAGGTAACAGACAGGACGTGGGTCGAGGTAACAGAGAGGGCGTGGGTCGAGGTAACAGAGAGGGCGTGGGTCGAGGTAACAGAGAGGGCGTGGGTCGAGGTAACAGAGAGGGCGTGGGTCGAGGTAACAGAGAGGGCGTGGGTCGAGGTAACAGAGAGGGCGTGGGTCGAGGTAACAGAGAGGGCGTGGGTCGAGGTAACAGAGAGGGCGTGGGTCGAGGTAACAGAGAGGGCGTGGGTCGAGGTAACAGAGAGGGCGTGGGTCGAGGTAACAGAGAGGGCGTGGGTCGAGGTAACAGAGAGGGCGTGGGTAGAGGTAACAGACAGGGCGTGGGTTGAGGTAACAGAGAGGGCGTGGGTCGAGGTAACAGACAGGACGTGGGTCGAGGTAACAGAGAGGGCGTGGGTCGAGGTAACAGAGAGGGCGTGGGTCGAGGTAACAGAGAGGGCGTGGGTCGAGGTAACAGATGCCCCACAACCGAGTAACAGTCAAGTTAACACAAGGCACAACTCCCGGCAGCTATATGTCACTGAGCAAAGATCACCCAATAACATAGGTACACTAGACAGCTTAAGAATGGCTGCCAAGTTGTAAACATAGTTGGAATATGGTAACGTGACGTTACATAACCAGAGTGAGTGGGGGGGGGGATAATATCTCAGCATGACCATCAATAAACAGAAATCAGTGAACTATCACTTTGCCTTCATAAAAAACTAAGTCCCAACTGGACTGACAAAGTTGAGTCCACAATGACTGAAAATATGATAGTCAATTACTCTTCAAAAGTTACAGTGACTGAAAAATCTGGCAAAGTCAGAAATCTTGTCTCAAAAGTTAAATTTCACAACCCATGAAATCTGACCAAGTCCTGAATCTCCTTTCCAGAACCGGCCAGATTCACGAAAGCACTTACGCAAGCACTTACGAACCTGTACATCTTTTCCCAATCTTTGGCGGCTTTGTTTACAATTATTAAACAGTTAATGAGCTCCGAAGCACCAGTATTGTTTATAACAATAACAACAGTTGATTGGCAAGTTTTCATGCTTGTAAACTGTTTAATAAATGTAACCAAAGCCGTCAAAGATTGAGGAAAGATGTACACGTTCGTAAGTGCTTGCGTAACTGCTTTCGTGAATCTGGCCCAAGTCCCCAAACGACAATTAAACCATACAAGTCCCTTCACCACAGGAGTCCCAATTTAAGAATTTACAATTTAATAATAAGACTTACCAACTCTGATCCACACAACTGTTCCCTTTCTAATCTTACAGGTAAGAAGACAATAGATATATACAAATATCCCTACTACGCTATTACCCAGAGAACACACATACAAACACACACACACACACAGTACATGTGACTCCTACTCATCCTAACACACCAGTGAGACAATACGGGGCTGACCAAAACAGGTCAATTAAACACCAGAGTGGGGGGGGGGGGGGGGTAGGGTCAGAAGCCGGCCACACAATTGGCGCAACAAGCAGTTAAACACTCACTCAACACATCATGAAATATAACATAATATATATAATGTGAATATAATGTATATATAATGTATATATATATATATATATATATATATATATATATATATATATATATATATATATATATATATATATATATATATATATATATATATATATATATATATATATATATATATATATATATATATATATATATATATATATATATATATATATATACGTGTATATAAGGATATTTTAATATAGATATGCATAAATTTATATACTGCAGCATGCCTGTTGCCCCCTGGCTGCCTGTTGCTCCCTGGCTGCCTGTTGCTCCTGGCTGCCTGTTGCTCCCTGGCTGCCTGTTGCTCCCTGACTGCCTGTTGCTCCCTGGCTGCCTGTTGTTCCCTGGCTGCCTGTTGCTCCCTGGCTACCTGTTGGTCCCTGGCTGCCTGTTGCTCCCTGGCTACCTGTTGGTCCCTGGCTGCCTGTTGCTCCCTGGCTGCCTGTTGCTCCCTGGCTGCCTGTTGCTCCCTGGCTGCCTGTTGCCCCCCCTGGCTGCCTGTTGCTCCCTGTTGCTCCCTGTTGCTCCCTGTTGCTGCCTGTTGCTCCCTGTTGGTCTCTGTTGCTCCCTGTTGCTCCCTGGCTCCCTGTTGCCCCCTGGCTGCCTGTTGCCCCCTGGCTGCCTGTTGCTCCCTGGCTGGCTGTTGCTCCCTGGCTGCCTGTTGCTCCCTGGCTGCCTGTTGCCCCCTGGCTGCCTGTTGCCCCCTGGCTGCCTGTTGCCCCCTGGCTGCCTGTTGCCTGTTGCCTCCTGGCTGCCTGTTGCTCCCTGGCTGCCTGTTGCTCCCTGGCTGCCTGTTGCTCCCTGGCTGCCTGTTGTTGCTCCCTGGCTGCCTGTTGCCCCCTGGCTGCCTGTTGCCCCCTGGCTGCCTGTTGCTCCCTGGCTGCCTGTTGCTCCCTGGCTGCCTGTTGCTCCCTGGCTGCCTGTTGCTCCCTGGCTGCCTGTTGCTCCCTGGCTGCCTGTTGCTCCCTGGCTGCCTGTTGCTCCCTGGCTGCCTGTTGCTCCCTGGCTGCCTGTTGCCCCCTGGCTGCCTGTTGCCCCCTGGCTGCCTGTTGCCCCCTGGCTGCCTGTTGCCCCCTGGCTGCCTGTTGCTCCCTGGCTGCCTGTTGCTCCCTGGCTGCCTGTTGCTCCCTGGCTGCCTGTTGCTCCCTGGCTGCCTGTTGCTCCCTGGCTGCCTGTTGCCCCCTGGCTGCCTGTTGCCCCCTGGCTGCCTGTTGCTCCCTGGCTGCCTGTTGCTCCCTGGCTGCCTGTTGCTCCCTGGCTGCCTGTTGCTCCCTGGCTGCCTGTTGCTCCCTGGCTGCCTGTTGCTCCCTGTTGCCCCCCTGGCTGCCTGTTGCTCCCCTGGCTGCCTGTTGCCCCCTGGCTGCCTGTTGCTCCCTGGCTGCCTGTTGCTCCCTGGCTGCCTGTTGCCCCCCTTGGCTGCCTGTTGCTCCCCTGGCTGCCTGTTGCCCCCTGGCTGCCTGTTGCTCCCTGGCTGCCTGTTGCTCCCTGGCTGCCTGTTGCTCCCTGGCTGCCTGTTGCTCCCTGGCTGCCTGTTGCTCCCTGGCTGCCTGTTGCTCCCTGGCTGCCTGTTGCTCCCTGGCTGCCTGTTGCTCCCTGGCTGCCTGTTGCCCCCTGGCTGCCTGTTGCCCCCTGGCTGCCTGTTGCTCCCTGGCTGCCTGTTGCCCCCTGGCTGCCTGTTGCTCTCTGGCTGCCTTGCTCCCTGGCTGCCTGTTGCTCCCTGGCTGCCTGTTGCTCCCTGGCTGCCTGTTGCTCCCTGGCTGCCTGTTGCTTCCTGGCTGCCTGTTGCTCCCTGGCTGCCTGTTGCTCCCTGGCTGCCTGTTGCTCCCTGGCTGCCTGTTGCTCCCTGGCTGCCTGTTGCTCCCTGGCTGCCTGTTGCTCCCTGGCTGCCTGTTGCTCCCTGGCTGCCTGTTGCTCCCTGGCTGCCTGTTGCCCCCTGGCTGCCTGTTGCTCCCTGGCTGCCTGTTGCTCCCTGGCTGCCTGTTGCTCCCTGGCTGCCTGTTGCCCCCTGGCTGCCTGTTGCTCCCTGTTGCCCCCTGGCTGCCTGTTGGTCCCTGGCTGCCTGTTGCTCCCTGGCTGCCTGTTGCTCCCAGGCTGCCTGTTGCTCCCTGGCTGCCTGTTGCTCCCTGGCTGCCTGTTGCTCCCTGGCTGCCTGTTGCTCCCTGGCTGCCTGTTGCTCCCCTCCCTGTTGCCCTGGCTGCCTGTTGCTCCCTGGCTGCCTGTTGCTGCCTGTTGCTTTCTGGCTGCCTGTTGCCCCCTGGCTGCCTGTTGCTCCCTGGCTGCCTGTTGCCCCCTGGCTGCCTGTTGCCCCCTGGCTGCCTGTTGCCCCCTGGCTGCCTGTTGCTCCCTGGCTGCCTGTTGCTCCCTGGCTGCCTGTTGCCCCCCTGGCTGCCTGTTGCCCCCCTGGCTGCCTGTTGCTCCACTTTACAGTAAATTGGAAAAAAAATCACAGCTGAAGGAAGAGTTGGAAAATGTCAAGTGGCAAGAAAAAGATTTTCAAAGAAAAATAAAAAAAAGCAGAAGACGGAAAAATCGCGTAAAGAGATGGAGGAAGAGTGAAATGGAAGAAGACGGGGGGGGGGGGGGGAACGGGGGGGGGGTGACGGGGGGGGGGGGGGGGGGGAACGGGGGGTGACGGGGGGGGGGGGGAGAGACCCGAACTAACATGCACACTCACACTGGAAGAATACAATTCCTCTCCAGTATGACATTATGAGCATCATACATGCTACATGCTACATACATGCATCATACACGTGGACCAAAGAGCCAAAACTCAACCCCCGCAAGCACAAATAGGTGAGTACATGCCTGGATAAAGCCGAACACCGCCAGGAAGGAGAGAATACATCAGAAAATACATCATGTATTATCTCAGAGGTGGTGTGTGTGTGTGTGTGTGACTCGATGAGCCGGATTTATAAAGAGTACCAGCGTGAAGAAAACCAGAAACCCGAGGTGAAGTTTCGTAAAATGACACACATTTGCTGCCGTAACAACAATGGTGGACAAAACAGAGAAGCCGTTGGTAGGCTTCCTTCGACTAGGACAAAAGATGCTGCCATGTATAACAGATTGCATCGTTAACGGTAATGGGAGACGACCCATTATACGTATCTTGCAAACTGTCACGAGTTAGAGACTGCTTGCCAAGTATCCCGCATTCATACAGTATATTGTTTAGACGGAAGAACCTTCGTCTGATATGCGTCGAATATTGTTAAGAGGGAAGACAGGGGGCTATAGTCACTGGACTGTATTTCACTTTGTTGTTTGTGGATCAGAAACGTCACACTTTGTTGTTTGTTGACTAAAAACGTCACACTTTGTCGTCTGTTGACTAAAAACGTCACACTTTGTCGTCTGTTGACTAAAAACGTCACACTTTGTCGTCTGTTGACTAAAAACGTCACACTTTGTCGTCTGTTGACTAAAAACGTCACACTTTGTCGTCTGTTGACTAAAAACGTCACACTTTGTCGTCTGTTGACTAAAAACATCACACTTTGTCGTCTGTTGACTAAAAACGTCACACTTTGTCGTCTGTTGACTAAAAACGTCACACTTTGTCGTCTGTTGACTAAAAACGTCACACTTTGTCGTCTGTTGACTAAAAACGTCACACTTTGTCGTCTGTTGACTAAAAACGTCACACTTTGTCGTCTGTTGACTAAAAACGTCACACTTTGTCGTCTGTTGACTAAAAACGTCACACTTTGTCGTCTGTTGACTAAAAACGTCACACTTTGTCGTCTGTTCACTAAAAACGTCACACTTTGTCGTCTGTTGACTAAAAACGTCACACTTTGTCGTCTGTTGACTAAAAACGTCACACTTTGTCGTCTGTTGACTAAAAACGTCACACTTTGTCGTCTGTGGATCAGAAACGTCACACTTTTCAGCTGATGTTCCTTTGGCTCGTGGGCCTTTAAATGTCAACATATGAACACTTTTCCTCTTCTGAGGCGATCTATATCACTGTGTTGTCAGAACAGTGAGAGACGAGTCGTTTTATAGTGGTGGCTGCTGTCTTATATACACCTGGCTGATGTTTGGCGCATATATATATTTATACCGCTGACCGGAGAGTACCTTGAGGTTACCTTGAGGTGCTTCCGGGGCTTAGCGTCCCCGCGGCCCGGTCGTCGACCAGGCCTCCTGGTTGCCGGACTGATCAACCAGGCTGTGACGAGTAATGGGCATCTATATTATTTGCAAATTTCTGCTCGAGAGTGGTGCAAACCCAAGATACTAAACGTCTCGTTGTCTCAAGAAGGCTTGATGAGTACCCAGGATAATGCACAGCTTAACGTTCAGACTTTAAATCCAGTTTTTGCTTCCAAGATCTCACGAATCGAGTTTTCAGACTATAAAACCAACCCATCCTCCTAAGGTTTTCCCAAGATTAAGGAAACGGTCAATTTAAAGTGGTCTCTCCTAACCTACCAGAGGACCTAAAACAGAAAACTGGACAGTACGTCACTTTCGCCAGCCGCTTCCATTTCGTAGTACGACAATTTTTGGCTTTATTTGACGCATACGACCGAAAAGCGACGTTAGTTGTAAGAAGACAGATTGGTCCACCATTCTTCTACCATTATCAGGCAAACAAAAAGGAATTCATGGAGTTTAGTGTTTATATAAACAACTACGACATACAACAACAAAAATATGGCAGAGAAGATGATGGGTTGTGTCAGTAGAGAAGGAAGTCGACACATGTTGGACTGACCCACTCATTGATTTGCCAATCGGTATCTATAGCAACTGAGCAGACGGACTCACTAGAGATGGCTTCTGCTGCTCTCAGCCTTGACGGATTTATAAATAACTCAGCGCCTGTAAAGCTTCGTCTCTGGGGGGGCTCTGAGAGTCCACCACGCATCTGGGTGGACTCACCCAGATGCGTGGTGAACTTCCACGCATCTGGGAACTTCCTGGGAAGACCAGGAAGTTCCTCCCTTCCTAGACATTTTTAGAACCAGAGGCTGCAAGAGCATCTTGTAAAAAAAAAAACCCGGTTAGTTGACATATGTTGACCAGACCACACATTAGAAAGTGAAGGGACGACGACGTTTCTGTCCGTCCTGGACCATTCTCAAGTCGATTGTGTATTGAATCTAGTTGACATTTTTCTATTGCTTAAGAAAATACCCGCACGGTTTCCCGAATTCAATATAGTGGGGGCCTCGTAGCCTGGTGGATAGCGCGCAGGACTCGTAATTCTGTGGCGCGGGTTCGATTCCCGCACGAGGCAGAAACAAATGGGCAAAGTTTCTTTCACCCTGAATGCCCCTGTTACCTAGCAGTAAATAGGTACCTGGGAGTTAGTCAGCTGTCACGGGCTGCTTCCTGGGGGTGGAGGCCTGGTCGAGGACCGGGCCGCGGGGACACTAAAGCCCCGAAATCATCTCAAAGATAACCTCAAAGAAGAAGAAGAAGAAGATAGTGCGTTCAAGCTGCTTTTGGCAACACATTCACACCACAACCCGTTCTCGCACTTGCTTATAGTCAATATGGGCTTATTTAATAAGTGCATATGTGACATACTAATTGATTGTGAATATTCCGGGCATAGTCTCAATACGTGGTTTTTAAAATACAAGTTCCATCATTATTGAAGTATGGGTTGACATTTGATTTGAGAAAGTACAGTAGGTTGAGATTCAATACATTAGACAATCGACAATCGAAAGGCGGGATCCAAGAGCTAACAGCTTGAATGACTTACTAAACAGATAGAGTGATTTTAAGATTACCCAAGAGCTTCGACCTTGTAGGCACAAATAGGCAAATGCTAATTAGGAAAATTCATACATATTTTCTTAGAGAGACGTGAGGGAGAAACATGTGTTGACTCTTCAAACTCACAACGTAACTGTCCTTATTGCTACCTTATTACAACTTGTTACAAAGTTGTTACAACTTCTTATCAAGTTGTTATGACGTGTTTGAAAGTTGTCACAACCCCTGATAGATATTTGTTACTACTTGCTAGAAGGTGTTACAACTTGTCCGAACGTTGCAGCAACGTCGTAGTTTGGCGGGAAGGTCAAGTTGGCGGAACGTTACAGCAACGTTGTAGTTTGGTCGTGTTTAACGAGAAGGTCAAGTTGGTGGAACGTTGCAGCAACGTCGTAGTTTGGCGGGAATACGATGGAACTTATCAAAGAAAGTTGCTTGAAGCCGAGAGGAAGACTTATGTACCATCACAGAGGCAAAATGTTCCAAGACATGAAAGGAGCCGTGGAACTAAAGAGCCTTGATAAGGTAGAGTCGGTAGCAGGAAAGCAGGACAAAAAAATACTTAGCTGAACGAATATGAAACTGTGAAAAGTAAAGGGGTTAAAAGAATGATGATGATGAAAAGAGAGAGAGAGAGAGAGAGAGAGAGAGGTTCGTCCCAGAGTTACGAGGGATGGAATATGAAGAGCGTCTGAAGGAACTGAACCTTACGACACTAGAAAAAAGAAGGGAGAGGGGGGGGGGATATGATAGGAACGTATAAAATGCTCAGGGGAATTGACAAAGTGGAAATAGATGAAATGTTCACACGTAATATTAACAGAACGAAGGGACATGGGTGGAAGAGATGCTAGGAAGTATTCTTTTAGCGTGAGAGTAGTGGAAAAATGGAATGCACTTAAGGAGCAGGTTGTGGAAGCAAACTATTCATAATTTTAAAACTAGAAATGATAGGGAAATGGGACAGGAGTCATTGCTGTAAACAACCGATGGCTCGAAAGACGGGCTCCAAGAATCAATGCTCGATCCTGCAGACACAAATAGGTGAGTACACATACCAAGTGATGTGGTGGAGACTGACTCCATACACAGTTTCAAGTGTAGATATGATAGAGCCCAATAGGCTCAGGAATATGTACACCTGTTGATAGACAGTCGAGAGGCGGGACCAAAGAGCCAGAGCTCAACCCCCGCAAGCACAATTAGATAACTAGCTAAGTACACAGGCAGGCAAACAAGAGTAGTAACACCCCTTGAAAATATAATTCACTCACGAGAATTAGAAACAAGTCTAATTGAGAAACAAGTCATTTGACCATTAAACTTGTCCTGTTCGAATCCTTGAATAACTTAACTCGCATAATAATGCAATTTCCACGTCTCGCTTTACCTTTTACCAACTTCCAATTAGCGATGAATTAGAAAACCAACTAACTTACTAACTCTTGGCTCACATGGACAGCAAAATTAACATTGTTTTTGTATGCTAATGAACTCATTACAGCAGAGAAGTCTGGCAATGGAGATGCAGATGTGCTTCTAGTGAGCTCCTTGTTTAACGGCACGGCTGAAGTTTCTCTATAATGTGCAGGTAGTATGTTGTAGCTGACAGCTGGCCATGGCAGTAGCAGGAGCCAGTAGCAGGAGCCAGTAGCAGGAGCCAGTAGCAGGAGCCAGTAGCAGGAGCCAGTAGCAGGAGACAGTAGCAGGAGACAGTAGCAGGAGCCAGTAGCAGGGGGGCAGTAGCAGGGGGCAGTAGCAGAGGGGCAGTAGCAGGGAGGCAGTAGCAGGAGGGGGGGCAGCAGGGGGGGGGCAGTAGCAGGGGGGGGGGCAGTAACAGGGGGCAGGGGGGGGGCAGTAACAGAGGAAGGGAAAATAAACATATATTAACAACTCTTCAGTAATATTGTCAAACAATTAATCCTTGGGCAGTAACAGGGGGCAGTAGAAGGAGCCAGATAACAGGAGCCAGATAACAGAGA